TTTTTGATTGGATTATTTATCTCCTTTGTTAAGTTGTATGAGTTCCCTATAAATGTTGGAGATTAAACCCTTATCAGTGATACATTGGCAAATATGTTCTCCCATGCAGTGGGCTTTCTTGTTGTTTTGTTGATGGTTTCTTTTGCTGTGCAGAAGCTTTTTATTTTGATGTAGTTCAATTTGTTTATTTTCTCTTTAGTTTCCAATGCCCTAGGAGCAGTATCAGTGAAGAAATTGCTTCGGCATATGTCTGAGATTTTGTTGCCTTTGGATTCCTCTAGTATTTTTATGGCTTCCCATCTTACATTTAAGTCCTTTATCCATTTTGAGTTTATTTTTGTGTATGGTGTAAGTTGGTGGTCTAGTTTCATTTTCTTGAATGTATCTGTCCAATTTTCCCAACACCATTTATTGAAGAGACTATCTTGACTCCATTGTATGTTCTTGCCTCCTTTGTCAAACATTAATTGAGCATATTGGTTCAGGTCAGTTTCTGGGTTCTCTATTCTATTCCATTGATCTATATGTCTGTTTTTGCGCCAGTACCAGGCAGTTTTGAGAACAGTGGCTTTGTAATTCAGCTTGATATCTGGTAATGATATCCCACCTACTTTGTTCTTCTTTCTCAGGATCGCTGCAGCTATTCGGGGTCGTTTTTTATTCCAGGTGAATTTTTGGAGAGTTCGTTCTAGGTCTGTGAAATATGCCATTGGTATTTTAATGGGAAGTGCGTTGAATTTATAGATTGCTTTGGGTAGTATGGACATTTTAATGATGTTGATTCTACCAATCCATGAACATGGTATGTTCTTCCATCTGTTTATGTCTTCCTCTATCTCTTTTTTCAACATCCTGTAGCTTTCTGAGTAGAGGTCTTTTACCTGTTTAGTTAAGTTTATTCCTAGGCATCTTAATTTTTTTGGTGTGATGGTAAATGGGATTGCTTTTGTAGTCTCTCTTTCTGTAAGTTCACTATTGGTGTATAGAAATGCCATAGATTTCTTGGTGTTAATTTTGTATCCTGCTACATTGTCGAATTCATTTATCAAGTCTAATACTTTTTTGATGGAGTCTTTAGGGTTTTTTATGTACAATATCATGTCATCTGCGAATAAGGACAGTTTTAGTTCTTCTTTTCCAATTTGGATGCATTTTATTTCTTCTTCTTGTCTAATTGCAATGGCTAGTACTTCCAGTACTATGTCGAACAGGAGTGGTGAGAGTGGGCATCCCTGTCTTGTTCCTGTTCTTAAGGAAAGTGGTTTTAGTTTTTGCCCATTGAGTTTGATGTTGGCTGTGGGTTTGTCATATATGGCTTTTATTATATTGATCAATCTTTTATTTTATTCTCACCCCAGGATATGTTTTTTTCTGTCGATTTTTTAAAGAGTGAAAGGGGGAAAAAGAGAGAGAGAGAGAGACATTGATTGGTTGCCTTCAACACCCTTCCGGAGCTAGGGATTAAACCTGCAATCAAGGTATGTGCAAATTGAACCTGCAATCCTTTGGTGTATGGGCCGATGCTCTAAGCACTGAGCTTCACCAGACAGGGCCAAATGTTGATCTTAAATGTTATCACCACAGAATAAAGGGTAATTTGTGAGGTGATGGAGGTGTTAATCTAATTGCAGTAATCACTTTTAATATATGTTTGTATAAGATCATCACGTTGTATACCTGAAATTTACATGTTATGTCAATAATATCTCAATAAATAGGAAAAATAAAGTAATAAAATACAGCTTCCAGGTTCCTGTTTAGATCCTCTGATTCAGAAGGAGTGAAATGAGGTCAGGGACTCTGAGTTTCCACAAGCGTCCCAGGTGATTCTGTGTAAGGGGTCTCCACGGCACCCTGAGCAAAGCTGGCACACCTGGCCTGGAGGAGGAAGTGTGTTGCTGCAGGTGCGGGGATGTGAGAGGCTCCAGCAGGGATACCCTTGGCTCAGCTGGCCTGGTGTCTCCCCACCCTAGATTCTTCACTTCTCAGATGGTGAGGAGGAGACATGCTTGGCAGAAGGTGAGTTCCAGGCTGGGCAGATTCTCTGCCTAGACTTTGGGCGCTGCTGAGCCCTGACCCCCACTTGGGGATTAAATGGAAAGACTGTGTGTCGCCCCAACTCAAACCAAGGGAGGCCTCAATACTGTCATTAATGAGAGGCCAAAAGAAAGATTAAGATGGGTTATAAATTATTGATGGGTTATAAATTAATGGGTGAAGGCGTGTTTGCAATTTGACAGTGAAAGCCTTAGCAAGAAGTGACTTGTTAAACTGAAGCAAAGGAACGTGAATTCTAGCTATTTGGGGAGACAGATTCCAGGTGGAGGAACTAACCAAAGGAAGAAATTCCTGGCATATGAACAGCTGGAATGAGAATTCATTGGGAAGTGAAGTCAAGTGCGTGCAGGCTGTTGTTGATTGTTATCATGGCTTTGTACTTGAAGGAATGGCAGGTAGTGGAGGGGTCAGATCCCCAGGGAGGTGTGTGATGCACTTTCGAAAAGATGCTGTGATTGCCATGTGGACAGTAGACACACAGTAAGGGCAGAAGCAGGAAGTCTAGTTAGGGGATTGGGATAATCCATGTAAGCGTTGATGTTGGATGGCGCAGGGCGTTGGCCCTGGAAGTGATCAGATAGACCCTGGTCTGTGCGAAGGCAGAGCAACATCTACAAGAGTGGTGTGACATGGCTTCCTACAGCTCTGACACTCAGAAAAGTAATTCTGAAACGGGCTGGTTGGTAGGGAGTGAGGTGATGGATGAAGAAGCAAGAAGTGAGGGGGAGGAAGCATGAGTGGTACAAATCGGGGCAGCTGTCGTGGAGGCCTCCAGGGAAGAAATCCTGGAAAGTGGGTCACCATGTTCTCAGGGAACATGTAAGGACAAGCTTACCTTCCATTTTCCTGTAGTTTTCCATTTTTAGAAGGTGCATGGTTGGTATCCCCACACTAAAGCTAAGCCTGTGGAGTTGGGGACTTGGTCTTACTAACCTTGATACTTCAACACTGGAATTGAAAAAATGTGTAGAAAGTGTAGACCCCAAACCTAGAAACTAGCTGGCCTACTGGCTGGCTCAGCAAGGGTGGGGCTCTGAGAAGCTTTAAGGAAATGCAGAGAAAAGGCGGGGGTGGGGAGGAGGGTTTGGGGGAGAGCAGAAACCAAGAAGTTCATGACTGAAACCTGTAAGGCCTTGGGGGTAGGAAAGGGGAAAGAAAGTAGAGGAGAAGGAAGAGGGGAGGCAGGTATGAGGCAGGGAGGGGACGAGAAATCTCCATGAAACTGAAAAAGGCCAACGTGAAAAGAGCCAGTGGGGAATTTTCAAGAAAATAAGGTGCTGGGCAATGGCTACCCCAGCTCAGTCTCCCCTGAAACCTTAAATAAATTGGCGTCGCTTATGCTTACGCAGAGGACCAAGCACTACCCTGTGGTGTGGGCACAAACAGAAGACGCCTGTGTAAAGTTTGCCAGGAGGGAGGCATGGGTGCTGCTTGCACACTGCAGGGAGGAATGTGGAGCTTCTCTGCTTTTCCAGGATGGCTGCTTCCTCACTGGCGGCTGTTCCCAGTGGAGGACCAGGGATGCTCAGCTGTGGCTGCACACTCACTGCCCCAGGTTTCCCGTTTATATCCCTCCTCTGGGATGTCGGAGGTGCTTCCCGATGGAGAACAGGGAACTGGGAAAGGAAAGCTAGCAGCTGCTTATGGTGATGTTGGTTCTAAACGAAGCCTAATTTAAAAAAACAAACACAGACTTCCGGGGACTCACATAATGACAGGAGTTTTTAGGGATAAAACAGGCAGTTTAGGGAGTTTTAGGAATTAGGGGGCTCATGGGGGAGGGAGGCACAGTTGGTTGGGGACTTGGAGCTGGCAAAAGGCATACATTCACAAAGAATTAAAGATGCCACAGGATAAGGGGAGAGGAAGACACCCATTCACAGAGGGTAGGGGAAAGCACAGGGAGTAGAGAAACAAAAGGAAGAAAGAGGAAAACAGGTTTTCACAGGGAATAGAGAATTCTACCACAGAAGGGGAGAAAAAGGGGGGGCCCAAGTGGGGTTTGAGCTTTGAAGCTGCTATAGTGACCATTAAGAAGGGAGCATCAAAAGACAAAGAACTGCAACCTTTATAAACCTTAGGAAAAAGGGGCTTAGTGGGTCACCCCCTTTAGGACCCCCTCCCCATGTGGGAGTCCGTACTTGCTTCACATAAATTTCCACCTTTCCATATACCACCTTTTATCCATGGCTTCATTCTTTGAATCCACCTGGACAAGAACCTGGGAAAGAAATCACCTTTGCATCCTGCCCAGAGGAAAACCACCCATTTCAGTTTGGTTTTCGAGTTTCAATAACTCACCCCAAATAGCTGAGTCACATTTTCTTGGCTTCTAGAATGTTCCAGAGTAGGGCAGAGCCCTCAGGTGCTGGCATGTGGTACAGTGGTATATGCACCTACAAAATTGTATATTTTGAGTCTGTTGTTTTTACAATGTAAATTTGGGAAGTAAATTCAGTCTGGGGAAATTCTTTGGTCTGGTGCGTCATGTAGAAAGCACAGCTGTGAGCCCTCTGGCTCATCTAGTGGTTATCTCGTTCCCCAGATAGGGAAGGGCAGGTGTGGGACTTGCATGACCAGTGGATGGAAAAAGAGGGGGATAAGTGCCTTGTGAGGAACCCTCAGCTGCCCTTCTGAGCGTCAAAGCTGGGCCTGCCCTGCTCCCCAGGCTCCCCTCTGCAGGCATTGCCCTTCGTCCATGAGCCACAGAGTGATCACGAAGTAATTAGAAAGTAAATGGGTTGGGGCAAGTTGTTTTTGTCCTTTTAAAAAAGAAATCCTCTTGCCCTGACCGGTTTGGCTCAATGGATAGAGCATTGGCCTGAAGACTGAAGGGTCCCGGGTTCGATTCTGGTCAAGGGCATGTACCTTGGTTTTGGGCACATCCCCAGTAGGGGGTGTGCAGGAGGTAGCTGGTCGATGTTTCTCTCTCATAGATGTTTCTAACTCTCTATCCCTCTCCCTTACTCTCTGTAAAAAATCAATAAAATATAAGAAATCTCCTTTTTCTTCACCACTAAAGATTGTTGTAAAATCAATTGAACATGACGCAAAGGGCGGGGGGGGGGGGGTTAGCATTAATTCCCGTTGAGCAGAGTCTCAGCCCAGGGTCCTGCATGTACCTCTTCTTCTCTCCTGAAGCATATCTCTACCTTTCCTGCTGACACATGGTCACATCTTACTGTTAGGTTAGGTGGCTCAGGAGGCGGCGAAGGAAATAAAGAGAGTCCAGTGAATTAGAAAAGAAAGGAAAAGGTTTATTTCTGCTTCCCCGGGAGACCCACGTACCCCCAAGGACAGGGCACGTGGATTCACGCCAACAGGGAGGGGGGCGCGTTTTTTATACTGTGGTTGGGTGAGGGGCGGGGACATGAGCTGAGGTATTCTCTGCAGCAGGGATCATCAGGGCATTCAACTAAGGAATTCTCTGCTGCAGGGGATGGGCGGGGATATTCAGAAAGAAGTCAGTATCGGGGTATGTGGATTAAGGGAGAAGAAGCATTCCAGGGGAAGTCCATTGCCTCATCACATGCCTGCATGTATCCTGGGCTCTCTCCGACCTAACACTTACACATGAACGAACTTATGAAATCAGACTTGCTCAGACTGTTCTCCGTCTGGGTCAGGAACAGACATGCCCTGCTTCTGGGGATCCTATATAAATCCTGCCCGACTTCACTCTGTAGCCTCGGCTGAGAAGGACTTGAGAGGTAAGACCGTGATCCAGAGCTCAGCCCCAGACCTGGTCAGGAGGAGGCGAGGGCCTCATCTGCTGCTTGTTACAGGATATTGCTCTGGAACTTGAGTCGGGGACCTGCTGGTGGGAAGAAAACACTACGAGCAGAGTTGCACTTCTCTGTTCTCTGGATTTTGTCTAACCTCAGGCGGTCTGGAGATTGGAAGGAGCACTACCCATTGGAGCCTTTCTCTATAAGACAAGACAATATACAACTGGTAAGTTCTAACCAGGGACCAGGGGGTGAATAAGAAGATACTGTTATTGGTGGAAGTGGGGTTCTTGGGGTGCCACGAGGAAAAGAATTTCCTGAGGCTCTCCCAGGAGGATGGAGTTTCATGGAGAGCTTTATTGATGATGTAAAATTAAGGGGTTGCCCTCCAAGGTCCCATCTCTGTCCAACTTGCCATGGAAGAAGTCCAGTCTTGCCTTCAGCAGGGCTAGGATCAAGGTCACTGCCCAGAATTTTAGTTCCATGTTAAAGTCCAGTCCAGCTCCTGGCTAGCTTAGCTGTGTTCCCAGCTGGGTCCATTGTGTGTGGGATCAGCACAGCATGGGCCATGGGGCTGCTTAAGGCCATGTGGCTATGGAGAGAGAACGAGAGCACATGGCTGAGTGCGGGTCACAGAGCAAGAGAGAAAAAGAGAACAAGAACGAACAAGAGAGAGGGAACTCTTTGTCTGGGGTTTTAACCAGGAACTTCTTCAAACCAATTAACTCTTCCAAGATTTCACATGCTTCTGATGGGGTCACCTCCTAGCCAATCCATTGTTCCCCAGGCTAGACTGACAGCCAAGTCCCCCCCCCCCCCCCCGCATCCCCTCTCCCACTTTTGTGCACATGCGCCCCTCTCCCTCTGTGTTCTATCCCTTCCCCCAGTGACCTGCAGGGAGTGGAGAGAAATGTTCAGACTATGTTTGAGAAATGGGTAGAGGTGCTTTTGGTTTGTTTTAGTTTAACACTGAAAGATCAGTCGGAGGACGAAAACCAGGTGACACAGGCTTTATTAGAGGAAAGACCTGCTGGGCTGTCTTGCAAAGGGAGAGCAGCAGCCTGTGCAGTGGTTAGCACTCTTTTTAAGGAGAATGAGGAAGGCACGAGGGCTTGGGGTACTTGGCGAGAGCTGGTTGGTTAGTCAATGTATATGTCCTTACAGGGTGTTCCTTCTGGGTTGGGGCCATATCACATTTACAGTAAGTCATCGCCATTCCAGGGATGGGTGGGCTTAGTAATCACATTCCAGGGAAAGGTGAGTCTATCATTTCCAGGCTCTTGGTAGTAATTATAAAAAAATAAAAATCTGAGAGTCCGGACAGGGTCAGAGGGCGAAGGTCCATCTTCCGTAGCTGCTTCCTGCTGAGAGGGGGTGTTATCAGAGGCATTTACCTGGGGTCTCAAAGATTCTGGTGATATAGATGTCCCTGTTCAGTGTACAAGGCCAGATAGATCTCTCCCACCTTCTGGTTGACGAACGCTTACATTCTGTTCTGTAAGAAACTGGTGAAACAGCACATGAGACAGGTGCCAAAGAGTAAAAGTAAAATAGATACCAGTGGGCCTAAGAATGGGAGGAGCCATGGGGCAAGTGAGCCAAAAATGGCATACCCCACTTCTAGCTGGTTACGTCATCTTTGGTCAATCCTGTCTCAGAGGGATTTAATGTGATCTTTGACAGTTCCTGATTCATTAACAAAGTAGCAGCATTCTTCCCCAAGAAAGACACAGGTACCCCCTTTTTCTGCTGTAGGGAGATCTAAAGCGTGCCGGTTCTGTAGGGCTATTGCTACTAAGGAGTCCACCTGCCTTTGAAGGGATTCAAGGGAATTGCTAATGATGGAGTTATCTTCTGAAAATTCAACAGACAATTTGTGGTAGAAATGAACAGAGGAGGAAATGCCTCCTACGCCTGTCCCTACTACAGTGAGGACTCCCGTACCCACTAAGAGGGGAACAAGGGCCGCCCTTTTGTGGCGAGACCTGAGAAGACCAAGAGAGGATTCGAGTTCTCCCTCTGTTCTGATAGAAAGATTGGGGGTTAGGAAGACATAAAGGCAGAGCGAGTGTGACAGGTCCCGGGGGACACAGGTGTAGGCTGTAGTCCCACAGAGGAGAAAAATACCCAGTGGAGCGCAGGCTAAGGGAGGGGGTAAATTTATAGATTGTGCACAGTAGTAAGGTGTAGGAGTAGTTGAGGTAGTGGTTTGAGAGGTATTTGTTAAACAGGTAGTGTTCTCCATATTAAAGAGAGAGATGATGTATAGGGTGCATTGAGGTTTGGTATAGGTAAGAGTTAAGTTAGTGGTCCAATAGGTTGGGATTGGAGTGGCTATGATGAGAGTTCAAGCCAGTGACAGACAAATCCAACAGGGTGTAGAGAAGGAGGGATTGATGTTAGAGAGTAGATGGAAGGTTGTGTTGATGAGGGTGGATAAAGGAGTAGGCTCAGAGTTCATGGGGCCAGAGAGAATGTCCTTTAGTGGGGAAGGGATAGGTCGAGGATTAATATAGGTTTTGATAAAGACAATTATACCCCCAGGGTCCCTACCTCTCGCATCTATTCTAATTCCTGCTGGCTGAGTCTGGTTCCAGAGTGGGCCTGCTGGGTTTGATATGGTAAAGCTGACAGGATTACACGTAAGGGGGCCACAGTCCGAGGGGGTCTGAGGTTTACTAGCGGACTATGTAAAGCACCAGAGTGGTAGTGAGAACACTGCCAATATGGACAGTAGAACTCCCCTACATTGTCACAATCCCCCTCCTGGCGGTATTTCATACATAGATATTTGTGGTCAGTGGCATAGGCCTGATACCACCCACCACAGCTAGACCACCTCGGGGCCATGGCCGTGCAGGCATCGAAATAGAGAGTGATACCAGAGCAGTGGTTCCCAACCTCCCTAATGCCGCGACCCTTTAATACAGTTTCTCATGTTGTGGTGACCCCCAACCATAAAATTATTTTCATTGCTACTTCATAACTAATTTTGCTACTGTTATGAATCGTAATGTAAATATCTGATATGCAGGATGTATTTTCATTGTTACAAATTGAACATAATTAAAGCATAGTGATTAATCACAAAAACAATATGTAATTATGTATGTGTTTTCCAATGGTCTTAGGTGACCCCTGTGAAAGGGTCGTGCAACCCCCAAAGGGGTTGCGACCCACAGGTTGAGAACCGCTGTACTAGAGGATTTCCCATCCCAGACAGTAGAATTGATGACTCCCTCATCATCCTAAGTCCGTTTCACCTGAAAAGACCAAAAACCTTCATTGGTGCATTCATTGTTAGCTGCCTGTAGGAGAATTATGGTGAGGAGACGAGACATATAAAAAGGAATTTGAAAACCTGAGCTTCTTCTGGAGTAAAAATTCGGAGGGTCCCTTGCTGGGTAAGGTCTACTATCCATGAGTGTAAGTCTCTGGGGAAGCAGATCGCAGTCACCACCAGGACCAGTCCTCCAGGATGCACTGCAAGAAATAATAGAATTTAGCCTGTGAGGAGTGATGGGTCATCAGGTCCTGGATGGTGCTGCTGAGTCTTCTTCGGGGATGGTGGGAAGGCATTTGGTGAGCCTGAGAAGAGGTAGGTCCTGGGAGGGTAGAAGTGTAGGAAGGTAGTGTTTTGTGTAGAGGTTTGTATGGCTTAATGTGTGAGAGGTGATACCAGTGGTGTATTCCTTGTACCTGTGCTGCCATAGGGGTAGATAGTATGACTGCGAAAGGCCCCTCATGTGGGTGTTAAGGATGCCTTTCCTTTTTTCTTGACATAGACCAAGTCCCCAGGAAGGACTGAGAGATGAGTAGAAGTTGTAGGAAAGGGATGGGGGAGAAGATTATCAGCGTGTTGTTGTAAGAGTGCCCTCATATGGGCAAAAGCAGGGAAGTAGTCTCCTGTGGAGGGGGTTTGGGGGACAAAAGGCCGCCCATACATGATCTTGAAGGGGCTTAGAAGTAGTGGTTGCCATGGCAATGACCCTCAGTCTCATTAGTGCCAGGGGGAGTAGTTCAGTCCAAGGCATATGAAGCTCCAAGGATAACTTGGTTAGATGTGTTTTTAAGAGATGATTGGCCTTTTCTATTTTACCCAAAGACTGAGCGTGGTAGGGGATGTGGAGGCTCCATTTGATGTTTAGCATTTGAGAGACCAGCTGCGTTATCTGAGAGATGAAAGTGGGCCATTATCAGATTGAAGAGACATCAGAAAGCCAAAGTGGGGGATGATGTTGTGGGTGAGAGATAGACGAGAGTACAGGTTCCTGTCCACCTGATGGGGAGACAGATATATGTGTTTTCCCCACAGAGGAAGAAAAATCCCTGATCATGGAGACAAGCTGAAAGGTGTAAGGAGAAAAGGTGGACTAAAGGGTATGAGATTACCTTTCCCAGTTCCATGCTCCAAGTTGAGAGTAGTCACCATGGCATTGCCAATAAGGGGTGACAGATGAGTGATTGAGATTGTATTTCGTGAAAGTGGGAGGGAATGTTAGAATGGGCTGTTATCCAAGGGAAAAGATAAAGGGAAGGAAAGGAGCAATGGAGGCCAGGGACCTGGATGGTTGGATAAGAAGTAAGACACTGTGCTGGCTTAACTTCTTATTTTTACTGAACCTTAATCCTTGCTGTTTTTCTGAATATTCTGGTTTAGCTTAAGAAGTATCCAGCAACCTTGTCCTGCCAGGCTTGGAGACTGAAACCTCACTTTCTTGCTCAGAGTAAAATGGCCCTTTTACAATTCTTGTAAATAGTTAATTTAGAACTTCTTTCTTTCTTTCAACATTTCTCTTTCCCTTCTCATCACATACACAACCTTCACAAATTTCACACTTTCAAATTAGCCTTCAAACCTTCTTTCTATGTCCCTCAAAAATGCATAACCACGCCTCAGACCTTCCACTAAGTATTTCTACTCTAATATTCTTTCTTTGTTCTTTGAAATGTATTAGAATTCTTCACTCTTAGAAACCTTAATTTTTCAATGATAACAAATAAACAGCCAACATTTCTTAGATTGGCATTTTTCAGAGCATTAAAGGGGTGAGAATGTTGGCCTTGGGATCTAAAGGCTCAGTGAGGGGGTCCCTTCACCATGTCATGTCATAGAGGAGCTTTGCAAGAAGATTAAAGTTGTGAACCTGGAGGCAAGAGTACCCAGTGAGCCTGAAAAAGGAGAAAAATTTTTCTTTTTTTTTTTTATTGTTTTATTGCTTAAAG